AAAAAAAAAAAAAAAAAAAAAATACAGACTCGATATCCATATAAATAATAATACTTTAATATATGGTTGAGTCTTCGACGGTCTTTGGTCCAGGATTTGAGTCCAGGATTTGAGGATCGACTCGGACCGGGACCGATTATTTAAAATTTTTCATCTAATATTAATCAAGTTTTTACATTGAAATGTCAAAATTTTCATATTTTAGTATTTTATAACATCAATATTATTTTGATTATTTTGATTCCTTGTTGATTTCTTTAAAAAAAAGTTAAAAACTACGAGAAATATTTCGTATTTTAGCAACTATTTATGTTATATGATCGGCATGACTTTTTTTTTTTTATTTCAACGTATTTTATAAAATTTTGTTAAAAATGGACCAGCATTTATTTCTTGTTATTGTTAGAAAGCAAATCACATGACTAACAATAAAAATATATCAAAAATTTTAGGACTTCCTCTATTAGGCGATATGACTTTCAAATAAAACCTCAATGAAACGAAGGTAATAAATAATAATAAATTAACGCTAAAATTTTTGCCAAATATACGCTGTTGTATCATATATAAAATAAATTTAAAAAATTTAAGGATGGTCTTTTTGGGACCGGATCAGGCCGGACTGATCCATTAGAAGACTTCTACTCAATGATCATATAATCATTTGTATAAAAATGATTTTTTCTGTTTTTTTTTTAAACAAGATTTTAGCAATTAGCCTATAAAAAGTTTATCCGTTATTTCTGTAAAAACTCGAACCTTTTACGGATCCATTCGCAGAAAAATGAAAATAATTTGACAAATTCCGTGATATATCCCTTTTACGGAAAAAAATGGAATATAAAAAACGGATCGACTTTTTTTACAGGGTAGGCTTAGAAAAATAATCCAACGACTTGAAATATTGTTATATCCGAAGAAGAAAAAGTACAAATTAAATGTGGTTTTGTTGTGAAATCACAGGTCACTCGTCTTGCTAATAATTTTTCCGAAGTACTGTGTGATCGATCTACTTTACGATGGCTTCGATTTTACTAGCCAGTACAAGTTTTACACGAACCCACCATGATACTCTTATAGTCGAAGAGACTTTAGAACGCTAATTTAAAGATAAGTTAAATCTTTGTGTACAACATGTCTTATTATATTCGGGTCAAACATTCACTACTCTAAACGAAAGACGGATTTATGGAGTAAATGGAAGATTTCTCAACGACAGTATTTAAGCTTGTTTTAAAAGGGAAAAACACATAATAAATGGATAGTAATACTTAAAAAATATTTTGTCCAGTAAGGCAAAACGTTAAGACAGATAGGAAATCTCATCCATGCCACATTGCTGGTTAAACTAATTAGGATTTATTTATCCCCTCATCACGGCGGATTTATGAAATACCCTAAATTTGTCCGTCATGTCAAATTAAATAAATATTTGACAGTCTTTTAGTCACCAAATTTCCCAAATTTATTAGTGAACAGTCAAAAATGAGCCCTAAAAAATTTTTTAAAACCCCAAATCTTGCGTCTAACCAATTTTTCCGTTACCTAACCAATTTTTCCAGTGTTAAAGGTGCGTCATATTTGACATTTTTTAGGAAAAAAGCTTAATGTTTCTATAAGTCAATTTTAATTCCCGAGGGAGCAGCAGGGTTTTTGCCAAATTTCATAAATCCGCCGCAATGTATTTCCTTTATACCTCCTAAATAAATCAGGCTAGTTCGGCATGAATCTCTTTATGGAAAGCCAGGACAAATAAAATTGCGTTTATTTTTACGTTTATTAAATGCTTGTTTAGCGCTTAAAGTGTGGTTTTAAATGCTTAAATTTTATTTTTAAGCATTTATTATTTAGATTTCCACATTAAATCTTGTGTTACGAAAGAGAATTTTTATAGAAATAAATAAATTTGTGAAAAAAAAATTTATAAGCGTTTAATTGAAATCCCATATTTGTAAAAAAAGAATTATAAACGTTTAAATGTAAAAGTAAACGCTTAAACCATACTTTAAGCGTAAAAATATGCGCACGTCACTCATTAAGTCAATGAAAGGTTGTAGCTTGTGGTGTAACTCGATATTATATAAAATTTCTATGTGAGCATCTGCAATGACGCTATTGACGTAACCTTGTTACGGCAGTTCTCTGTTTGGGAAAATTTATTTTTTTTATTACATCAAATTTGTCAACTGGTGAAAAAAATTGTCAACTTTAAAATCATAACGGCAATTGATGCATATGTGAAACGTACTATATATGGTAAAATATCGTATAGCCATTGATAGGATCATGCAGATATATTTTTATTAGGAATAGCAATAAAAAAATATGGTGCAGATGAAATTTTTATAGGAAAAGTTTAATAAAGCTTAAAAAGTGGATTAAAAATAGCATAAAAATGAAATTTATAGGAAACTAAATAAACCCGTCAGAACGATAGCACTTTTGGGCTTCGGTTGCAGGATCGAATGATTGGATGAAAATGGACCACGTTGTGACCATTTTCACCAACCAATGAAGGGCTCTGTAACCGACATAGCTGCTCCCCATCCAATAATAAATATATCAATTTATTTATTCTAAACTACTGATAATCCGAAAATCTGACAGCCGTTAAACTTTAGTTAATTTTTGTCAAGTGTCCACTATAATTTGAATTTTGCTGTAATGTTCGCTGTTTCGTACAAATTGATACAAATTACAAAAGTTGCTTATAATAAAATTTTTTTTTTACCTTTTTAATGTTTATTATATCGGTATAACATTTCCTTTTTAAGAATAATTAAAAATTATATTAATTGCTTCGTTACGATTGTGCTTCCTTGATTTTGAATGCAATCTTTAGTTACTGGTTTTAGCTTATTGTATGGCATGATCCGAATAATCCGATAAATTTAAAATTCATTTTACGAGATTCTAAGTTTAGGATTGATAATTACTTTATCGCTATAATGAGGAATTTTTTTTTCATTTAACAATTACCTGTCGTGCGTCGCCACAAATAATGTGAAACAAAATTTTGTAGATCACTAACTAATATAAAAATTAGCCACAAAAGTATGTTACATAATCAGCCACATCTCGTGATCCGGTTAATATTCGGATCTTGCATTTAATTTATCCGCCATTTAATTTATCCGTAAATTTACAAAAAATCGGCACTCGGCTGCTTTAAATTAAGCGAAAACTCGGTTAGATCCGGCAATTCACTTCTAAATGATTTTTCTCGTTTTTATTGTGATACAAACTATTTTAATATACTTTTGGGAACGGAGAAATTTTTTTTCTTGAACCGTGCAGTAAAAAAAATTAATATAAATACAACCATAATTTTTCAAGTCCTGGCTGTATCAAACTACAAGAAAAAGAAAAATAACAATAAGAAATTATTAAATATGATTTCTCAACTATTAAAATTATTCAATAATTTTGATTACCTTTCATTGATAGGTATCATATTAACAATCTACGTGGCACGGTATTATTACAAATATTTTACTCGTGTCAATCCCTTACCTGGTCCTTTCCCATTCCCACTCGTTGGAAATTTACCTCAAGTAATTTGGCATAGTGGAAATCTCAAAAAATTTTTCGAATATAATCACAAGAATTATGGTGACATATTCGAAGTCCAATTGGAATCACGACTTATAATTCTAAATAAATCAGAATATATTGAAAAGATTTTATCAGCTTCAACAAAAAATCCATATATTAAAAGAATTGCTGATTCTAATACTCAAGGACCTCAAGAATTAGGTATTTTCGGAAAAGGAATAATTCTAAATCAAGATTATCAATCATGGAGATATAATCGTCATTTTTTTACACAAGCTATCTTGTCACCAAAATTTGCTCAAGAAGCTACTCATTGGACAAACGAACTTTTCAATGAATTGGAAGGTTATTGGGATAAATTATATCTTAAAAAAGAAACAACCAATGAGAATAAAAAACAATTGGATTTCTCTACATGGTTCAATCAATTTACAAATGATATGATTTTCAAAATATTAACTGGTGAAAGATCTTATACAATGGCGGGATATTTTAATACTCTTAGTGACAATGAAAAAGCAGAACGTCCAGAAGCAATAATTGATGAGACTGTAAAATTAGTTGATGCAATTCGTAAACAAGTTTTAGGTTTATTATTTTTTCAATTTGTCTCTCCTTTCTTACGACATTACGTTCCATTTTTTAAGGGTAAATCAGATGAGTTACTTCAAAACGCGAAATTTTTGATTCAACGAATGGAAAGCATTATTAAGAAACGTAGACAAGAAATTGAAAATACGCCATTAGATAAACCTTTGTCAAATGATATGTTGACATCAGTCATTATTGCGAATACAACTCGTGATGTTAATGGTAACGAAACTATGAGACCTATGACTGATACTGAAATTCGTGGCATTATGCTTGATGGAATAAGTGCTGGAACTGATACAGTAAGTACTATTTATTATAATTATTAAATATTTATATAAATTAATATTTTATTTTTTTTTGTTACTTTCGATAGACTGCGAATCTGATTTCATTCATTGTCTATTATCTTGCGCATAATCCAGATGTTAAAAAGAAGATGTTAGATGAAATTGATGGCATTTTCCAAGGGGATAAAACACGTCCAATTACTGAAAATGATTTCAATAACTTAAAATATTGTAAAGCAATTGTAAATGAAGTGGCTCGCATTTATCCGGTTGTAAATTCGTTTGCAAGATGTCTTGAAAGACCCGAAGAAATAGCAGGCTATCAATGGCCAGCCGATACAATGATTCGTATCAATATTGATGCTATCCATAGTAATGGAGATTATTGGGAAGAATATGATAAATTTAACCCTGATAGATGGATGGCTGAAGGTTTTGAGCCAAAGAAACATTCATTTGTCATGTTTGGTGGAGGGTTAAGAGTCTGTCCAGGAAGAAAGTTGGCAATAGTTGAATTAGTTTGTTTGATGGCTTTATTATATAGAAAATATGAAATTAATTTGGTTGATATGGAATCTTCCTTAAAAACTAAATCTACGCTTATAACTGCTTGTACTGAATTATTAGTTGAAATTAAGCTAAGAGATTAATATTTTAATATCCCAATATTTTTGATAACTTTTTTTCTTCCGCTTTTTCTTCTTTCTTATTTTTGATTTTAAGGTATTTAGACTTTCATTCACCGTTAATTTATGTGATCTTAATTTTAAAATTATGTATTGTTGCGTATTTCGACAATAAATTTCAACATTTGTCAATTGTGTCAAGTTTTTTTTAATTTTTTGATTTTAAATTTTCTCCAGGAAATTAGTTAAAAAAGGTATTAATTAAGCCAGTATAGTATATGTGCTGTATGATATTCAATCTATAACAGTAGTAGTACGCAAATTCTATTTAGTAAATTAAAACAAAAAATAAATATATAATTTTCTAATTTTGAGTAATTTAATATTTTCATAATTTTACTTCTGCTGGAGCTTTATAATTTATTATTTGTCTTTCAGCTAATTGCATTTTTTTGTACTTTAATTTTTTGCAAAATGGTATGATGCCTTTCAATCTCAAATAAATTATGTTCTTATTCATTATTATCGTCAACTTTAATTTTTTTTTTTGCTCTTAAATTATCATCATTTTTTATTACTGAATAAAGCTTTTCTTCATAATTATTAAGAATAAATAAATACAATGAGAGAATAAGATCACCTGTAAAATAACATAACTATGAATTTATGAATTTGCAGATTTATGATTCATCATACGGATCAACCTTTCTTATATATATACACTAGATTCGAAATTAATTCTACTGTTTATTAGTAAAATTTCGTTTAAAATATTTATAATTATTATTTACTAGATAGACTCCTAATTTTTTATCACTTTTTGCAGATTTTTTTTTTTTTAATGCCATTATTTTCGTTATCAAAGGATTTACGCAGATACAAATTGACTGTGCCGATTAATTTGTCACATGACATTTAACGAAAAATAACATAATTATGGAGGTCATAAATGATCGGCAAGATTTTGGCCTAAAATAAGTTTCAGGGCCGGAATTATGATAATGCCGGCCAGTATCAAAAAAGACAATAAAATTTAGGCCGGAACTATCTAAAAAGGCAAGATTTTCATGAAAATTTTGGGTTTTTTTTAAGCGACCTTTTTATGTATTTTTCGGGGTCCTCAAGAACCCATGACCTTTATGTTTGTAACACGATCAGCGCAATTATAAATAACGAACTTCCCTATGAAGTTTTACTTATTGTTGTATTTAAAAAAAAAACAATGTTTCAACTTCCCGCTGATTGCTTGAACGAGATTTTTGAACACTTTGAGAATGACAAATTTACTTTACATTCATGCATGTTAGTTAATCGTTATTGGTGTGGTGTTTCTGTGAGAATTTTTTGGAGAAATGGCCAGAATTATAATACTTCGAATTTAAATACTTTAATTGCTTGCCTTCCAATCACATCAAAAGAAATTTTATATAATAATGAAATTATTATTTCAACCTCAACTTTAAAAACTCCCATTTTTAATTATGCATCATTTTGCAAAGTTTTATCAGTTAATCGAGTTTATTATAAAATTGAAAAGCTTCTTGAAAATCAACAATATATTTCACCACAAATTCTTAAATATTATACACTTATAGTAGCGCAGGAAATATTTCAAATGTTCATGAATGAAATCTCTTCCTTAAGAAGTTTCTCTTTTTATTCATATCCAGACATGACTTTTAACATATATTTTATTGGAGCAAAAGATTGTTTAAGAAATCTCACAGAATTATGTTGTAGTTCAGATATTTCCCCCGAAATATTTTATCAACTATCTCAAATATGTTATAATATACAATCTCTTACTATAGGATTTGAAAGAACTATTGCACATGGAATAGCAGATTTAATTTCTGTTCAGAGAAATTTGAAAAGCTTTGATATGATTCTATGTCATGGTATGAGAATTAATGAACAGACAAATATAATTTTTTCAACATTATTGAGAAAATTTCCTAATACTTTAATTAAATTGAATGTTTATGTAAGAAATAATTGTTTTTCATTACTATTTATTGCCAATTTATTAAATTTACAAGAGCTTAAATTATCATTTGATTGTGGTGAATATTTTGTTGATTTTGAAAAGTTACAATATGCTAATTTTCCACATTTACAAGTTTTAACAATTCCAGATGCATATCCAAGAGATGGATTACTAGTAAAATTCTTAGAAAACAATGGGAAAAATTTAAAAGAAATTTATATACGTGAGACGAAAGGTTGTGATGATATTTCATTAAATATAGCTATTGCTAAGTTCTGTCCAAATCTTAAAAAATTTTCTGTTGGAATTAAGAAATTGGTATCATTAAAAATAATTTTACTTTGTTGCAAAAATTTAGAAAGTATTAAAATTTGGTGTGGACGGGGATTCTTGAGTATGAAAGAAGCATTGGAAGCATTTGTGAAATATTCACAAAATGCTAACGAATTGATATTATTTCATGAATTTGCAGAACGATTTAGATTGTCTCCAGAAGAATTAGAGTCTGCTTTTATGAAATGGACAGATCGTGAACCGCAAAAATCATTTTCATTAGTAGTTATTAAATATGACGGAATTAGTTTAGATTCTGATGAAAACATTGAAATAATTAATAAATATATTAAATTAGGCGTTATTAAGAAATTTAAAGCTACGAATCTTGTAGAATATTATAATTAGACTACAGTATGTATTCATATCCTTATTAACAAAATTAAAATTTTTTATATACTTTAATAAATGTATGACCCATAAAATTATCCCACATTTCATTAGTTAAATTTTATATTAAAATACTGTACATGGTTTTTGTTAACATAAACTTTTCTAAAATACTAGTCCTTTGTATCAATCAAATATGTGAAAGCCAAGAAATAACTCAAAGAAATATAAATAAAATAAAGTGCCCAATTTAATTGAATTATATCAAAGATCGATGTATGCTTGTATTATATTCGCTATTATAAAATTTTCGTTAAATTAAGCATAATAAAATTTGATATAATATTCTAAGAAATTTTTTTTGTTAATTAATTGAACCTTATTTTTTTTTGATTAAAAATAAAAAAAGACTTTCGATTACATAACTCACTGCTAAGTAGGTGTTCTTATTATTTTAATGGTTTACGACAATTATAAATATCTACGCATGTGTGTATCCTAAGAATTTTAAAAATGATGGAAAAGAAAGAAAAGAAAATTTGCGTTTTGAAACTCTTTAATTGTACGCAGCTCACATACCTAATCTCACGTTTTATACAAGGCGTTCATTATAAGGTTACGGTACATTTCGCCGAAGCCATTTCGCCGAAAATGATAGATGATATCGATTATCACTTTAATAAAAATATTAATCGCGCAATGAAATAAAAAGATTTTTTTTTATTTATTTATTAAATTATCTCCTTGTAAATAGATGTAATAGTTACATTTTTACATTTGCTTTCTAATTATAGCAAATGTATTGATTTTGTTTTATTTTTACGCGAAGTTCTTTGATTATATAAATGTAATAGGATTGATTAAAAGTGTAGCTAATAAAATATAAACTACGATAATAAAATTATTTCATTTATATAATAATATTTTGGTAAATATAATTGATTGCGTAAATAATGAATATCGTCAAAAAATTATTTTTGTTATTGATATTATCGCAGATTTTTAGTTAAAAAGATACATGAAAGACTATTAGATAATACAAAAGACTATCGTTAATAGTTAAAAAAATTAAGCTGTGAAAGTTTATATTTTTTTATTTTAGTACATAATGTCTAATTATGGTAAAGATAGGATGGCTGAAGAAATTAGTACAACCTTGAATGATGCTGAAGACGAAATTGATGATTATGAAGAGAAAGTGGTGGTACAACCATCTACTGATGATAATGCTGACCTCAAGAATTAGAAATTTTGAATATACTTGATTTGGATTTAATGTTTGATAATTTTATTCACAAGTTGAATAGGGAAGGTGATTTGACCCGGAATTGTTAGTTCAGAATTTTATTAACAACTATTAATCGTTGTTTATATGCAAGTAAATAGTATTTGATAAAATAATTGACAATATAATAAAGATGTAAACTTAAAAACATTAAATAAAATATAATAATATTTTTAGTAAAAAATGTAAAATAGGTTTCGGTAAGTTTCGGTTATATAAGTTTCGGGTCGGGATTAGAGATTCGGAAAAATAAATGGATACCGAAAATGTAATATTTATGCTAAAATTTATGAATTTAATAGAAATATGACAATTAAATAGTATTATTTAGTCTATATAAATTAATTATAATTATAAAAAATAGTTTTTTTAACAAATGATATTATAGGTGATAAATAATTTATATAAGAAAATTTCAGATCATATTCCAACAATCCAACCTTACAAAACGGAATTAAACTTGATTGATTTTGTAAGTGTACATGACGCATAACCTTTCCCTGCGTGCTCGTTATAAAAAAATGTCACGAAGTAGCCTTTGGCTGGTGCGTGACGAATATGGAATTATTGAAAAATGAAGTACGGAGGAGTGTGACACCGATTATAAAAAGTCACACTGCTGCAGCAATAACTGAAAGCAAAAAACGTACGTATTTGGCGCAATTTATGCTTATTTTTATTATGTCCTTAAATTTTTATTTCATTAAAAATATTAATAATTTTAATTAATGATATGTATAACTAATTATATTGCAAGTTCACATTTTCCTTATTCAAAAATAAAATGTTAAGAATTTAGAGTATTCTCAATAGTGAATATAATACAAGTATTATACTTAAATTTTTTTATTGAATTTTTCGTTTTAATTTATTATATTTTAATATAGATGATAATTAATTTTGGAATCAACTCCGTATCACTTAATTTCTAGTCAAACTTTTTTTTATAGAAATGCATGTAATTGTGTTGTGTAGGCGTATGATTAAGCTTAGAAAATTATAAATTGTATAGCAGTATAAAAAATTATAATTTTTCAGTTGGATGGCATATAATATAATAATGAGATCGTGTATTGTAATTATTTAAAA